AAGACCTAGGACTTGAGTTCCAAAAGTTCAACTTGGCAAGTCTTTGAACCTCTTGGGAACTTCGAAAGTTCCTGCTGTAACCTCATCTCTTCTGCTACACCCAAATCATTGGTATAAAAAATTGTCACCTTAGTCAAAACCTCGCCGTGCTTCAGCAAATACTTTGCCACCTCCATCTCGTATGGCCGCCCGTAGAATCCCCGTATGCAAATAGTTTTGAGGCTGGACAACAAGCAAACAGGCACAGATTCTGGTGGGCGCCATTTATGTGCTACTAGATAACCCTCAGCATGTTTCCAACACCACTGTATGTTCTAGAGAATATTCAAAATTAATGAGTTAAATAACATGTTTCGAAATTGTATATTGGTACCGTTTTAACAAAAGGGTTATAATTTATAAATGTTACGTATACTTGCCTTTTTAAACACCAGATGTTCCAGCTTGGGGGACACGTCGAGCCACTTTGTCAATGACTTCCAAGCACAGCAAGTTTGAAAATGTAGCTTCAAGTGGTTCAAATTATGAAACTTAGGCAGACGATATCGATGTATAACGTCAGGACCCTTCAGGCAATGATCAAGTAAAAATAAGTCAATCAAGGACTTGAGCAATATCAAATATTTCTTCAGCATATATAAAAGAGAAGATGTTAATATTAGAGCCTACTTACCTCCGAAATTGGAGCTGAAAATGACAAATATGTAACCTTGTTAATTCCTGCTAAAAGCTTACTTAATTGATCAGCATAATGAAGCAATTGCCATAAGTAAATATCTCCGGGGTAACCCATTGCAGGCACTCGGAGAGCGATTTTCGCTTTGCTGAGGGATTCTGCATTCTTCCAAAATTTATCCTCCAGATTCCAACCATTAGGATGATTAGATTTTCTGTCCAGAATGACATACAAATTTATTTCTAGTCTTTTCAGTTTAGGCGCAAAGACATTGAATAGAAAAGCTGGTTTATGGTGAACAAATCCATCTATAATCAAATCTTCAAGTACAGGACAAGAAGAAAAGAGGTTCCGAGTTGAGTCATAAAAAGTACGGTAGAGTTTTGAGTCATAAAAAGGACGGTAGAGTGTGACATGCATGAACTTGAGACTAGGGAAACAATTTGAGGTTGGAGGCTTGGTAATAAGATTTGATTTAACCCTCAGTCTCAAAACCTCCAATGTGTCGCACATGAAAAGGCTTCTAGGCAACTCAAAACTACTCTGGCACGAATACGAGAGCAAGCAAAGATCAAGTTCCACAACTTTACGTGAAATAGCAGTGCAAATCCAAGCATCAATCCGGGAAAAATAATCCTCGATATTAGCACATTCGAGCCGCAATCTATGAATGTATGAGGAGCCACCAAGGGCAAATACTCGATCCACGAACCCCGCGCAACGATCTGAGACCATATTTGGTGACTGAACACAGAAGTCAAAGCTAGAAACAGAAGCCAACACATTTTTCCATCTGTGTGATAAAATGCCGGTCTTTGCAGCTTCCTTTGTGTAAAGGAAAGAAAGTATGTGGCAAAGAATTTCATCTGGCAATCCACTGATCCGATCTTCCATGCATGTCTTACAACCCATTTATGATGCGATTTATTTTCTCAACAAAATAATGGGGGTTGCTGGTTCATGTCCTCTTGGCTATATAGGTTGTGCTTTTCTGAATTTGTTTGTTATTTAAAAGCAAAATAATTCCTAAGAAAGAAGTTAATTACTTCTTGTGTTAGTTCTATAATTCTTATTCAAGATGAAGTATATAGAAACACTAATTAAGTAAGAACATAACAAAGTGTTAGGGGGAAGATAAGAATGATTAGGGCAGTACGTAGCATATTAATCGGAAGAAGAAATCTACAGGGATGCATAATCCTCTGTTTGTCCTGTTTTATTTATGAGGTTGCCGAAGTTGAATCGGAGTAGGATTGTTTATTACTACTAATTTACGAATTTATACTCATTTATAAATAACATTTATCATAAATGGATTGGTAACCCCATATGATTAGACTTCCTTACACAGAGATTTACCATAAATTTTGTTTTAGAGAGACTAGAGATATCATGATAAAAAAACCCATAATTATTTTATAATTAATTATGAAGTTACTGATGCCAAACTTTGTTTTTTGGTGTGTGTTTAACTCGGCCTCGACCTTGCTCGAAATGCCAGTAACAACTCGTATACTTTTTCTGTACCAATATCCTTTCTACATTACAGAAAAGAGGTTATCGTATGTCGATACCATTCAGGGTATCACAAATTAGTCTCAGAGATTGAGGTATGCAATACAAATAAAGGGAACTAAAAAGAGAAAACAAGAAAAGTTAGAAACATAAGTACTCCAAATACATTCATGTTTTATCGACAAAGAAAGGATCCATTCACAACCTTGGAAATGGAAACCATATAATTAAAACCTAGAAGTTCTCAGTGCACACCTTCGGGAACATAATTTTGCACGTCTGTGAAACCCTTGGGAACTTCTGAACTTCATCCCATAACTTCTTCTCTTCTCTTAAATATGTAGCTCTAGTACAGAATATCATGTAATCCAAAACCTCACTGTGCTTCAACAAGTACTCTGCCACTTTCATCTCATCTGGCTGCCGACGGAATCTTTGCATTCGAACAGTCTTCAGGTGTGACAACAAACAAATAGGAACAGACTCAGGTGGAGTCCATTCATGTACTAATTCATCCTTGTTGTGCTGTATAAGACATTTGACGTGCTAAAGATTATTCAGAACAAACGAGTTAAATTAAAGTATGCTTGAAAAATTGTATTTATGGATAACATTTAGCGTAGGGTACATCCACATAAACTAACCTTATTGAAGGTAAGAGATTCCAGATTGGGCGATGCATTGAGAAAGTTTATCAATGATTGCCAAGAGCAGCAACTCTGGAAAAGTAGCACCAGGTGTTTTAAATTATTCAACATAGGTAGACGATAGCGATATACAATGCGGGGATCCTTCACAAATGACAAGTATTGATCAATCAAAGACTAGAAAAATCAAATATTTCCTCAGGGTAAAATAGCATTCCAATTGATAAATCGAAGCGTGTAAAAAGGCTGTGAGACACCAAGGGAACCAGTTAGAGCATACTTACCCCGAAAATAGGTGCTGAAACCCCCAGATATTCGACATTGCCAATTCCTGCAAAATGCCTGTGTAAAAGCTCAGCAGCATCAGATCCCGCATGCAGGCCCTCAAAATTATTCTTGGCTATCTTGAGGGATTTTGCATTCTTCGAAGAAAAGACTGCCAAAACATTGCCGTCGAAACTGAACTTTTCAAGATTTGGAGTATTGGCATGAATAAAAGTCTTGTAATCATAATATTCACCAATTATACAGAGGAACACATTCATACGCAGTCTCTTTAATTGTGGTGCAGAAATATTTACATTCAAAACAGAACCTCCATCAGGTTCTGCCTCAATAGTCAAATCTTCAAGTACAGGGCAACAAGTAAAGAGCTTCCCCATTGAGTCAGCAGCATCAGGACACGCTACATTAACATGGAGGAACTTGAGACTTGGGAAACAATCGGAGTGAGGAGCAAAGGTAATAATTGAGGGCAGCTTCAGCTTCAAAACCACTAATGTTTTACACATGTAAAGGCTTCTTGGCAACTCAAAAGGCTCGGATGAAAATGAGTCCCGAGCAAGATCAACATCAAGTTCAACAACATTATGGGTAATGGCAGTGCAAATCCAATCATCCAACCATGGAAGTTCTGCCATGTACTTAGTATGCAGACGAAATCTATGAATGCTCGAGTTGCCCCGTGAGTAAAGTACATGATCCACCAACCCTGCAAAACGCTCTTGATCAAATTCTTCTAAATTGTCACATAGGTCGATATTGGGAACAGAAGCCCACACATGGTTCCATCTATGTGATAAAATGGTGGTCCTAACAGCCTGGACTGTTGGAAGGAAGGAAAGAATGTGGCAAAGAATTTCATCTGGTAATCCACTGATTCTATCTTCAGTGCATGCTGGACTTTGAAATTTTGAATTCGAACGCATTTTCGATTTCTCACGTTTTCTGTAAAAATTCAAAAACCAATTTAGCTTCTAAGGGAGTTTTCTATGGATACCCATTAAACTGGTGAAAATCAAAAGTTGAATTCCAAGAAATCCCCAAATAACATTTTCACGAAATTCCTTTGATGTGCCAGCTTCCACATTGAAAAAAAAAACACAGATAATATATATAACGATAATCAGAAGTTTTTTTCTGGGTTTTTCATGGCATGCAGACAGAGAATGACACACAAGAATAACGACATGACAAACGAAATAATACTTCAGAAAATGAAAAATACCTCATATGAGTGAGGACTCGTGGAGCTTAGCGTACTGGTTCTGTTTGGTTGCTGAGAAACCACGGGAAGATGAAGGAAGATGAGAAAGCGGCCAGTTCTACACCTTCTCTTCGGAATGTGAGATTTGGGGCCAACGCTTGCGAGGGATTTTAATTTTTAGGATCTCAGAAAGCCCATTTTGTTGAAATTTGGGCTTAAATTTGTGTTTTGAGGTCTACAATTGAAAGACCTTGCTCATGTATCCTGGCCCAAATTCATTAGCTGCCTAATCTTTCAGCCCAGGCAAGTTCCGTTTGTTTCGGTAACCATAGAAAAAGAATTTTATCTTGATATTAAAAAAAAAAAAAAAGAAGCTAAATTTAAACCGACTAATTTCATGAGAAAACTCTATTGGGGGGAAAGTATGAAAAATGGAAAACATATAAAAAGGTTTTTGAATACAAGCGATAATCTAAATTATAAGGAGGAGTGAGTTTCTCACACACACACTTACCAATAAAGATGTCATTAGTCTGTAAGTGAATGTCCTTTTCCACGCTCTATTGACATACAAATTTTTAAAAGTAAAAGAAAAAAGGGTTTGATATGAGGGTATTGCTTGTATTGTAGGTTTGACTTTGTTCGTACCAACAACGAGAATTGACAAATAGCACTTGAGCAATGACTAATTTGTTTTTATTTAGTTTCCTTGGTTTATGTGCCATAAACCATAATCTAATTCCTCCAAAGTGAAAAGGAGCTGAAAAAAAGAATACAAGAAGAGTTGAAAGCAAATATACAGCAAATAAATACATGTTCTTATCAACATAGAAATGATCCACTCGATACTCCCAAACAGGGTTCACATGAAACCTCATTTGAGTTTGGGAAATACAATTTGACAAGTCTTTGAAGCCCTTGGGAACATTGAAATTGTCTGCAACAACTTTACCTCTTCTCTCAGACCTAGCACAGGGAACTTCATCTCTTTTTCTTCACAGAAATACTCAAGGGTACAAATTGTGATGGTGTTCAAAACTGCACCGTACTTCAACAAGTACTCCACCACTTCCATCTCATCCGGCAGCCCTTGGAATCCCCGTATGCGAATAGTTTTGAGGTGTGACAACAAACAAGCAGGCACAAAATCTGGTGGACTCCATTCATGTACCGACTCATCCACGAAATGGCACACATAACAGTGGATGCTCTAAAGATGGTTTAAAACATAAATGAGTTGAATGAACATCTTAAAAGATTGAATATCAGTACAGTCTAACGTATACTTACATTCTCAAAGACTAGATGTTCCAATTTGGGAGATATCTGCAGAAAATTTGTGACCGATCGCAGCGAGCAGCAATTTTGAAGAAGTAACTCCAAGTGGTTCAAATTGTTAAATGTAGGGAGATGATATTGATACACACTGCAGGGACCCTTCACAAATGATAAAGTTATCAGTCATAAACTCCAGCACATAAAAAAGTTATCAGTCACTAAGGGAACAAGTTAGAGCATCCTTACCCCAAAAACTGGAGCTGAAAGTGACAGAAATTTAACATTGCGAATTTCGGCAAAGAGCCACTGTATGCGATCGGCAGAATCACGGACAGTGCCAAACTTCTCCCCAGAATGCAGGTTTACCAAATCAATCTTGGCTCTGCTTAGGGAATGTGCATTCTTCAGGGAATAGTTTGCCAAAATATTCTCCTGCAGATTAAACTCTTCTAGACTTGGAACATTAGCATTAATAAAAACTTTTCGATCATAATTTCCATGAAATGGAACGATATACCAACTTATTCTTAATCTTTTTAGTTTCGGTGCAGAGACTTCAAAATTCAGCACTGAATCATATCCAGGTTCTCCCTCTATAACCAAATCTTCAAGAGCAGGACAACATGAAAAGAGCTTCTCCATTGAGTCAGCATCAGGAAGCACGACATCAACATGGAGGAACTTGAGACTTGGGAAACAATCTGAGGCAGGTGCAAGGGCTATAAAATTTGATTGCAGCCTCAGCTTCAAAACCACCAGTGTTTTGCACATGAAAAGGCTTCTAGGGAACACGAAAGGCTGCGGTGGATTCGAGTACTCGTAAAGCTCAAGGTCCAGTTCGACAACATTACGCATAATGGCAGTGCGAATCCAAGCATCAATACGAGAAAAATCCTTCATTTCCAGACACAAAAGGCGGAATCTATGAATGTTGGAGGAGCCACGAAAGAAAAGTACCCGATCCACAAAACCGGAGAAGCCATCTGGATCAGATTTTTTCAAACGTCTTTCTAATGGATAATATTCTCTGTCACGCAAGTACAGATTTGGAACAGAAGTCCACTGATTCTTCCACCTGTGTGATAAAACGCTGGTCCTCACCGCCTCTCTTGTCAAAAGGAAGGAGAGAATATGGGAAATGATTGCATCTGGCAATCCACTGATCCTATCTTCATGGCATGCTTCACGAGACTTTGAATTCGAACCCATTTTCGATCATGTGATACGTTTCCTGAAAACCCAAAAAAATATAAATCAATCTGCCACTCTGAATTTGAACCCAAACACACAAACAACCACTTTAACCATTGCATGTGTGTTTGCAACAAGCCTAATATAATATAATGGGGTTCATGTTTTCTTTGCCATACCAGAAAACAGTTCCTGATAAAGTTTCCTTAAAAGAGACAAGATTTGAAATAAAAGTCAACAGAGTTTCTGGGGAAAATCTCCTTAGAAAGGATTTCAAACAAAATCCCAAAAGAAAAAAAATTTAG